TAAATGAAATGTTTCTATATTGTTTCTTCCTCAGGTAGAAAAACAATCTCTGGTAAAAGCGGTGAGTTTCTGTATGTTTATGAATCAAACCGAATACTGTACTTCCATACAACATCAACGATTCACTTTGTGCCGCAACAGCAAATTATAAGTTACCAAAACAGCAAATCACATCAAGCAGCAACAGAAAATAATATCACACTGAAACAACACATGTTGTTTGTCAGGGACCATCGCGACGCATGGGTCTGCACATGCGTAGGTGTCTGTCAAGACATGCAGGCATCAGGGCACTAGGACCCAGGAGCACCCGTCGCCTATGACGGTGCTGGGCAGGCACTAGGACCTAGGCTGCACCTGTCAGGTGCAGGGCGGGCTACTTAAATCAGCCCTGCACAGACACAAGTTGCCGTATGGTCTGATCTGGTTCCTGTGTTCCTGTGTTCCCGTTGTTTGAGATTTGTTGCTGACCTGCTTGGACCTGACCTCTGCTGACTTCTCCTGCTCTGACCCCTGGCTAAGTTTGACCTCTCTTTTGGATATCCCTACCTGATCTGAACTACTGGTACCGACCCCAGCGAGTGACCCGACTATTCTTCTGCCTGCTGCCTTGTACCACGCTGACCCCTCTGTTACCGACCTGGCCCATTTTGACCACGCTATTGCTCAGCCATCCATCCGACCCGCACGGATTAGCTGCTACTCTCCAGACCTGTCTGCCTCTTCACGTCAGGCTCTCTACCTGTCATTACCTCTGGTGATTCCTCTACCTCAGGTGGGTGTACTCAGGGGCCGCGACCTGGTCACTGTCCGCTCCAAGCCCATCCCCACCATCAGGGGCTCTGGTGAACAAGCGGACTGGGGCTTAGACTCCGCGCCCTGGGGAATCCTGTCCTGGGGACTGCTAGAGTACACCAGGTGGTCCTTAACATTGTTACAAAAAAACACCCAAAAATAAAGTGAACGGTGCTATTACCTCCGATTGTGCTAAACTATCAATATACAGTTACAAGAAAAAGTATGTGAACCCCTGTGAGATTACGTGGAGTTTTGCATGAATTGGGCATAAAATGTGCTCTGAATGTCATCTAAGTCACAACAATAGAAGAACACAGTCTGCTGAACATAATACTACACAAACATTAGATGTTGCCATGGTTTAATTGCACATAACATGTAAACATTCACAGTGCAGGGAGGAAAAAGTATGTGAGGCCCTAGCTTAATGACTTCTCCCAGAGCTAATTGGAGCCAGGAGTGAGCCAACCTTGACTCCAATCAGTGTGATGATATTGGATGTGTTGCTGACACCTGTTTTGGGTTTACTGGTTTCAAGAAGCACTGTCTGATGTGAACCATGCCTCTCAGAAAAGAGCTCTCAGAAGACCTACGATCAAGAATTGTTGACTTGCATGAAGCTGGAAAGGGTTACAAAAGTATATCCAAAAGCCTTGATGTTCATGTGTCCACGGTAAGACAGACTGTCTACAAATGGAGAAAGTTTAGCACTGTTGCTACTCTCCCTAGGCGTGGTCGTCCTGTAAAAATGACTGCAAGAGCACAGCACAGAATGCTGCATGAGGTAAAGAAGAATCCCAGAATGTCAGCTAAAGACCTACAGAAATCTCTGACACATGCTAACATTTTTGTTGACACATCTACAATAAGGAAAACATTAAACAAGAATGGAGTACATGGGAGGACACCACCGAAGAAGCCATTGCAGTCCAAAAAGAATATTGCAGCACGTTTGAAGTTTGCAAAAGAGCACCTGGATGTTCCACAGCACTACTGGCAGAATATACTGTGGACAGATGAAACCAAGATTGAGTTGTTTGGGAAGAACACACAACACTATGTGTGGAGAAAAAAAGACACAGCACACCAACATCAAAACCTCATCCCCACTGTGAAACATGGCGGAGGGAGCATCATGGTTTGGGGCTGCTTTGCTGCCTCAGGGCTGGACGGATTGTTGTCATTGATGGGAAAACGAATTCCAGAGTTTATCAAGACATTTTGCAGGAAAACGTACGACCATCTGTCCGCCAACTGAAGCTCCGCAGAGGATGGGTGATGCAACAGGACAATGACCCAAAGCATACAAGTAATTCAACAAAACAATGGCTGCAACAGCACAGAATAAGCCTTCTGGAGTGGCCCAGTCAGAGTCCTGACCTCAACCCCATTGAAATGCTGTGGCATGACCTTAAGAGAGCGATTCACACCAGACATCCCACGAATATTGCTACACTGAAACAGTTTTGTGAAGAGGAGTGGTCCAAAATGACTCCAGATCGTTGTGCAGGTCTAATCTGCAACTACAGGAAACGTTTGGTTGAGGTTATTGCTGCCAAAGGAGGGTCAACCAGTTATTAAGTCCAAAGGTTCACATACTTTTTCCTCCCTGCACTGTGAATGTTTACATGTTATGCAATATCTTAATGTATAGTGTGCATTATAAATAAAGTTCATATAAATCAAGAAAATATACATTTTTTTAAAAAAGTGCATCAATGTTGCACCCATCCAAAGTCGCATCCAAGTGGCAACAAAGTCAACACTTTTCTATTGACCCCACCCCAAAAAAAAACATTACACATCAAAAACACGTGTTTAATAAAAGCAAGACACACTGAAACTGCACAATCTGCATAAATGTGAACCTAGCCTCACATTTGTGATTGTATAATTTGCATTGGACACCGTATGGGACTTTCTGTTTTGCTACAGTTGGAGATGGAGCAAAGGGCTGATACCCAGATCAGTCATCAGACACAGCCAGCGACAGATCTCATGGCCCAACGGGCGCATGTGAGGTGGCAATCCGGGAGGACGTCATATGGCGCCCACCCGGATCTACGAAAGTTCCATCCTCCCGTCAATGTACTATAGGCTGGGCAGGAACTGGTTAAAGGTGCCACTCCATGATGTGCCTGAAGTTTCCATTGTGACTGCTTCAATGCTTTGTCTTGTGGATGGCTCTTGCCTTCATTGCTTGGCTTTCCAGGTAAAAAACCTTCAGCCTTTACAACCACTTTAAGGTAATCCTCCTGTATAGTCAAACTCATACACCGCTTCCCATATCCTAGGGACATTCAGCTGTATCACTGCCTTGGGCAGTATAGGCACTGTACCAAATCCTGACCACCATCCAAGTGGCCATCCCACTGCAAAGAGCCCTACAACCAGAGGACGTCGATTCTACTATACTGAGAAAGCCCTTTCTTCATACAGTATCTCACAGAAGTGAGTCTCCCCCTCACATTTTTGTAAATATTTGATTCTATCTTTTCATGTGACAACACTGAAGAAATGACACTTTGCTACAATGTGACGTAGTCAGTGTACAGCTTGTATAACATGGAAATTTGCTGTCCCCCTCAAAATAACTCAACACACCGCCATTAATGTCTAAACCGCTGGCAACAAAAGTGAGTACACCCCTAAGTGACAAGGTCCAAATTGGGCCCAAAGTGTCAATATTTTGTGTGGCCGCCATTATTTTCCAGCACTGCCTTAACCCTCTTGGGCATGGAGGTCACCAGAGCTTCACAGGTTGCCAGTGGAGTCCTCTTCCACTCCTCAATGATGACATCACGGAGCTGGTGGATGTTAGAGACCTTGCGCTCCTCCACCTTCTGTTTGAGGAGGCCCCACAGATGCTCAATAGGGTTCAGGTCTGGAGACATGCTTGGCCGGTCCATCACCTTTACTCTCAGTTTCTTTAGCAAGGCAGTGGTGGTCTTGGAGGTGTGTTTGGGGTCGTTATCATGTTGCAATACTGCCCTGCAGCCCAGTTCCTGAAGGGAGGGGATCATGCTCTGCTTCAGTATGTCACAGTACATGCTGGCATTCATGGTTCCCTCAATGAACTGTAGCTCCCAAGTGCCGTCAGAACTCATGAAGCCCCAGACCATGACACTCCCACCACCATGCTTGACTGCAGGCAAGACACACTTGTCTTTGTACTCCTCACCTGGTTGCCACCACACACGCTTCACACCATCTGAACCAATTATAAGTTGATCTTGGTGTCATCAGACCACAGGACGTGGTTCCAGTAATCCATGTCCTTAGTCTGCTTGTCTTCAGCAAACTGTTTGCGGGCTTTCTTGTGCATCATCGTTAGAAGAGGCTTCCTTCTGGGACAACAGCCATGCAGACCAATTTGATGCAGTGTGCTGCGTATGGTCTGAGCACTGACAGGCTGACCCCCCACCCCTTCACCCTCTGCAGCAATGCTGGCAGCACTCATACGTCTATTTCCCAAAGACAACCTCTGGATATGATGTTGAGCATGTGCACTCAACTTCTTTGGTGGACCATGGTGAGGCCTGTTCTGAGTGGAACCTGTCCTGTTAAACCGCTGTATGGTCTTGGCCACCGTGCTGCAGCTCAGTTTCAGGGTCTTGGCAATCTTCTTATAGCCTAGGCCATCTTTATGTAGAGCAGCAATTCTTTCTTTCAGATCCTCAGAGAGTTCTTTGCCATGAGGTGCCATGTTGAACTTCCAGTGACCAGTATGAGAGAGTGAGAGAGATAACACCAAATGAACCCACCTGCTCCCCATTCACACCTGATACCTTGTAACACTGAGGAGTCACATGACACCGGGGAGGGAAAATGGCTAATTGGGCCCAATTTGGACCTTGTCACTTAGGGGTGGACTCACTTTTGTTGCCAGCGGTTTAGACATGAATGGCGGTGTGCTGAGTTATTTTGAGGGGACAGCAAAGTTACATGTTATACAAGCTGTACACTGACTACGTCACATTGTAGCAAAGTGTCATTTCTTCAGTGTTGTCACATGAAAAGATAGAATCAAATATTTACACAAATGTGAGGGGGGGACTCACTTCTGAGAGATACTGTAATTTCAGATCACAACTAACTTTTATAGGTACACGAATTAGTGCTTTGTCTTGCTTGTGTTTTCACTGGTGCCACGTTCTGTTATTGTGGTTAAGTTCCTACTTGTTTGATTTTTTTTTTTAGATTTGGAAACTGACAATGAAAACAACAAGACCTCCAAGGTGATTTCAGATGAAGTTTTAGCGTATCTCAGCAGTCGGTGGTTGACTACATTTATCCCTTCAGTCTACACAGTCGTATTCCTCCTATCACTGCCTTGCAATGTAATAGCAATCATCATATTCCTGTTTAGAATCCACGTGAACACACCATCAGTGGTTTTCATGTTGAACTTAGCCGTCTCCGATGTCCTCTTCGTCATCTTGCTGCCTTTCAATATTGCTTATCGGTTCTTAGGAAACAATTGGGTGATCGGAGAAGGAATGTGCCGCTTCATCACCGCCGCATTTTACTCCAACATGTACTGCTCCATCCTGCTCATGACCGGTATCAGCGTGGACCGGTTCTTGGCGGTGGTCTATCCCATGCAGTCCCTTTTATGGCGCAGAGTGAGCAGAGCCTGGATAACCTGTTTCTTTATCTGGGTGGTTTCCATCGCCGGCGCTGGGCCGCTTTTCACCATCAATCTAACTGTTCACATTGACCAACTGAACATTACAACTTGTTACGACATGCTGGAAATGGCAAACATTCAACATTTTTACTTCTATTATTTCATCACTTTTATTTCCATTTTTTTTTTTGCTGCCTTTTTTGATCACAACATTCTGTTACATCGTGACCATCCGAACTTTAAGCTCTTCCAAAATTGAAAGCACCTTTAAAAAATCCAGATCCGTGTCTCTTTGCGTCACGGTACTTTTTGAGTATATCATCTGTTTTGGCCCGACCAATATTATCTTTCTGATTTATTATCTGAATTTTGATAAGTCATTTGGCAACTCTGTATATTTTGCCTACATGCTATCTGTTAGTTTTAGTAGCATCAGCTGTTGTCTGGACCCTGCTATCTATTACTTTGGGTCATCAAAGTATAAGAAGCTTGTGTACAGCTTGGTGTGTTGTGGTGAATATAAGGCTGTCTCCATGAGAGATAGCTCCTCAAGAGCCACAGGAAGGGAGACATTGGCCTAGTCTTTGTAGAGCTGGGACCTGATGCTGTGCAACACACAGAAGCAGCAAAGACCATGATCTGGATTTTCATGGTCATTTTAATGCAGGGGTCAGCAATAGGCCAAGTGCGATCTAACCATCAATTGCTGGTATGTGATGTGATGTGTAGACCATGACCCCACTGAAAAGCTCCTCCATCAAAAGTAGTTGCTGCCTCTCAGACCTTAGATTGGAGCGGCAATAGGCATATTACACTGTGCTAAGTACTCCTGACCCCCTCATTTTGCACTACATACTACTGACCTCTGCCCTCTCTGTTGCTTTCTCCTAACCCTGGCACTCTGCTACATACTACTGACCTCTGCCCTCTCTGTTGTTTTCTACTGACCCCGGCACTCTGCTACATACTACTGACCTCTGCCCTCTCTGTTGCTTTCTACTGACCCCGGCACTCTGTTACATACTACTGACCTCTGCCCTCTCTGTTGCTTTCTCCTAACCCCGGCACTCTGCTACATACTACTGACCTCTGCCCTCTCTGTTGCTTTCTCCTGACCCCGGCACTCTGCTACATACTACTGACCTCTGCCCTCTCTGTTGCTTTGTCCTAACCCCGACACTCTGCTACATACTACTGACTTCTGCACTCTGCATTAAATAATATTAACCTATAAACCCTGCATTTCTTACTCCTGACCCCTCCACTTTATATGCTAATGAAATTTGAACTCTCCATCACTTACAACTGGCCCCCGAATTCTGCAATATACACTATATTTCCAAAAGTATTGGCCCCGCCCTCCAAATCATTTGGATTCAGGTGTTCCAATCCCCTCCATGGACACAGGTGTATACAATCAAGCCCCTAGGCATGCAGACTGCTTCTACAAACATTGGTGAAAGAATGGGTCGCTCTCAGGAGCTCAGTGACTCCAAGAGTGGTCCCGTGATAGGTGGCCACCTGGGCAATAAGTCCATCCGTGACATTTCCTGGCTACTAAATATTCCACGCTCAACTGTTAGTGGGATTATAACAAAGTGGAAGCAACTGGGAATAACAGCAACTCAGCCACCAAGTGGTAGGCCATGTCACATGACAGGGCGGGGTCAGCGAATGCTGAAGCGCACAGTGCGCAGAAGTCACCAACTGTCTGCAGAGTCAATAGCTAAAGATCTCCAAACTTGGTGTGGCCTTCAGATGAGCCCAACAACAGTGCATAGAGAGCTTCATGGAATGGGTTTCCATGGCCGAGCAGCTGCATCCAAGCCTTCCATCACCAAGTGCAATGCAAAGCATCGGATGCCGTGGTGTAAAGCACGCCACCACTGGACTCTAGAGCAGTGGAGACGTGTTCTGCCGGAGTTACCAATCACACTTCTCTGACTGGCAGTCCGATGGACATGTCTGGGTTTGGCGGTTGCCAGGAAAACAGTACTTGCCTGACTGCTTTGTGCCGAATGTAAAGTTTGGTGGAGGGGGATTATGGTATGGGGTTGTTTTCCAGGGGTTGGGCTTGGCCCCCCTAGTTCCAGTGAAGGGAACTCTTAGGGGGCCGGAATACCAAAACATTTTGGACAATTTCATGCTCCCAACTTTGTGGGAAGAGTTTGGGGATGGCCCCTTCCTGTTCCAACATGACTGCGCACCAGTGCACAAAGCAAAGTCCATAAAGACATGGAGGAGCCAGTTTGGGGTGGAGGAACTTGACTGGCCTGCACAGAATACTAACCTCAACCTGATAGAACACCTTTGGAATGAAATAGAGCAGAGACTGCGAGCCAGGCCTCCTCCCCCGACATCAGTGCCTGACCTCACAAATGAGCTTCTGGAAGAATGGTCAAACGTTCCCATTGAGTTGGCCAACTTAATATTGAACCCTACGGACTTAGACTGGGATGCCATTAAAGTCCATGTGTGTGTAAAGGTAGGAGTCTCAATACTTTCGGCAATATAGTGTATATAAAGGCCTGTGCACAGTTGCGACTAGCAATGAGGTCTGGCTACCAAGTAAAATGTGAACCTATGAAATGAAGGCTTTATCCAACCCAAAGCAATACAAAATCTCCAAGCTCCAAAAAAGAACTTAAAGTGGAGTTCCAATCAAAGCCAAAAAAAAAATAAGTCAGCAGCTATAAAAAGCTGCTGACTTTTAAAAAACAGCCACTTACCTGTCCCTTGATCCAATGGTGTGCTCACTGCAGTTGGGTCCTCCGGTCATCTTTGCTCCCAGGCACTGACATGTTAACTGTGGGCACCCAGCTGTGACAGCTTCACAGCTGGGTGCCCACTGCGCATGCGCGAGTAGCACTGCGCCTTGTGAATGGTCCTGTAGTTTTTTGGGACCTGTCACATATATCAAAAGACTACGGGGAGGGAGGAGGGGGGAGACAACTTCCGTTGATCGCCTAGGTGGTTGCAATGGAAGTGGGAACGGGTACCCGCTACCCGAAGATGCCAATTCTGCACAGGGAGTGAGGGATTAGTACTTAAAGTGGAACTTCCCCTTTTGGGTGGAGCTCCACTTCAAGATCTGAGAAAACCACAAGTTTATTTTCTCCATATCAGTCTTAAACCGTAGAGACTCTTACCATGTATACGTGGGAAACCTAAGTGGAACGTTGAAACTGTCCACAATCTTTCCAGACAGTGCCTGACATGCTCTCAATCTCTGGACAGACCTACGGAAAGCAGCACATTTTGCCAACATACAGTGGACACATGACCCATCATCATCACTCCCTTGCTGGGTCCCTGGCCCATAGTATATAAAGAAAAGAAAATCCAGTATCTATACCATTGTTTGTAGGCGCTATAATTTTCACGCCAACCAATCAATGTACACTTATTGGGATTTTTTTTACCAGACATGTAGCAGAACACATTTTGGCTTAAATTTATCAAGAAATGTCATTGTTTTTCATTGGATATGTTCCCTCCTTATTCTCTCCCCCCTCCATCTCCCCCTTCTTCTCTCCCCCTTTCATTTCCCTCCATCTTCTCTCCCCCCTCCATCTCCCTCCTTCTCTCCCCCCTTCTATTTCCCTCCTTCTTCTCTCCCCCTTCCATTTCCTTCCTTCTGCCGCCCCCCCCAATCTCCATCCCTCTTCTCTCCCCCCTCCATCTCCCTCCTTCTTCTCTGCTCCCTCCATCTCCCTCCTTTATCTCTCCCTCCTCCATTTTCCCCCTTCTTCTCTTCCCCCTCCATCTCTCTCCTTCTTTTCTCTCCCCCCTCTATCTCCCTCCTTCTTTCCCCCTCCATTTCCCTCCTTTTTCTATCCCCCCTCCATTTCCCTCCTTCTTCTCTCCCCCATCCATCTCCCTCCTTCTTTCCCCCCTCCATTTCCCTCCTTCTTCTCTCCCCCGTCCATCTCCATCCTTCTTCTCTACCCCTTCAATCTCCCTCCTTCTCTCTCCCCACCATCTCCCTCTATTTCCTTCCTTTCCCCCCTCCATTTCCCTTCCCCATCTATCTCCCTCCTTCTTCTGTCCCCCTCTGTCTCCCTACTTCTTCTCTGCCCCCCTCTGTCTCCCTCCTTCTACTCTCCCCCCTCCATCTCTCTCCTTCTCTCCCCCCTCCATTTCCCTCCTTCTCCTCTCCTCCATTTCCCTCCTTCTCTCCCCTGTCCATCTCCCTACTTCTTCTCTCCTCCCTCCATCTCCCCCTTCTTCTCTCCCCCCAAATCTCCATCCCTCTTCTCTCCCCCCTCCATCTCCCTCCTTCTTCTCTCCCCCCTCCATCTCCCTCCTTCATCTCTCCCTCCTCCATTTCGACCCTTCTTCTCTTCCCCCTCCACCTCCCTCCTTCTTTTCTCTCTCCCCTCTATCTCCCTCCTTCTTCCCTCCTCCATTTCCCTCCTTCTTCTCTCCCCCCTCCATCTCCCTCCTTCTTCTCTCTCCCCTCCATTCCCCTCCTTCTCTCCCCCATCCATATCCCTCCTTCTGTCCCCCCTCCATTTCTCTCCTTATTATCTCCTCCGTCCATCTCCATCCTTCTTCTCTACCCCCTCTATCTCCCTCCTTCTTCTTTCCCCTCTCCATCTCCCTCCTTCTCTCCCTCCACAATCCCCCTCTATCTCCTTCCTTTCCCTCCCTCCATTTCCCTCCCCCATCTATCTCCCTCCTTCTTCTGTCCCCCTCTGTCTCCCTCCTTCTTCTCTCCACCTTCCATCTCTCTTCTTCTCCCCCCCCTCCATTTCCCTCCTTCTCTCCCCTGTCCATCTCCCTACTTCTTCTCTCCCCCCACCATCTCCCTCCTTCTTCTGTCCCCCCCCTCCATCTCCTCCCTTCTTCTCTCCCCCGTCCATCTCCCTCCTTCTCTCCCCCCTCCATCTTCCCCCTTCTTCTCTCCCCCCTCCATCTTCCCCCTTCTTCTCTCCCCCCTCCATCTTCCCCCTTCTTCTCTCCTCCCCCCATCTCTCTCCTTCTTCTCTCCCCCCTCCATCTCTCTCCTTCTTCTCTCCCCCCTCCATCTCTCTCCTTCTTCTCTCCCCCCTCCATCTCCCTCCTCCTTCTCTCCCCCCCTCCATCTCCCTCCTCCTTCTCTCCCCCCCTCCATCTCCCTCCTCCTTCTCTCCCCCCCTCCATCTCCCTTCTTCTTCTCTCCCCCCTCCATGTCCCCCCTTCTCTCCCCCCTCCATTTCCCTCATTCTTTTCTCCCCTCCATCTATCCCCTTTTTCTCAAAAAATTAAAATATATAT